CCCCCGCAGCCCCGGGCAGCCCCTCTCTGGCCGCGGGGAGCTCGGGGACCCACCCGGGCCAGGGGTGAACCAGGCAGCCAGGCCCAGCCCCTCCCGGCAGGAGTGTGTCTGCCCCACGCGTGTCTCCGCCCACCCAGGCCCTGCCCACTCCGCGCTGCCCCCAAACCCACTGCGCTGCCCCAGGGACTGCAGGGCTGGAGCAGACTCTGTGCTGCGCTCCCGGCCCTGGCCATGGCCCGTGTGCAAACCTGGGAGGGAGGAGGAATGCCGCATGCTTGGGGAAGAGGCAGGGCCAGGGCGGGGATTTGGGGAGGGATCCAATGGGGCAGTGAGGGGCGGGGCTGGGAGCGGGCCCAGGGTGGGATTTGGGGAGGGATCCAATGGGAGGAGGGGACAGAGTCGGGGCGGGGGGGCGAGAGCCCCTCCAGGCTCTGCCTGTGCACCGGAGCGGAGGGCAAAATTGCTTGTTTGTCCCGTGTCCCGACCGAACATCAGTCGGGACACGGGACAAACAAGCAAATATCGGGACGTCTGGTCACCCTATGGGGCATGCCGAAGGCACGGGACTGACAGATCACCTGCAGACACGCCACCAAATCCGCGTGATCCACGGACTGCCCGCAGGTGTGCCACCGAAGGCTGCCTGACTGCCGTGCTTGGGGTGGCAAAAAACCTAGAGCTGCCCCTGCTGTTGGTGCAGTAATTGGTTGCTGGTCTCTGGCTAGGCAATGGCATCATGCCTGCCAAAGAGGCCTGTGCTTCCTCCACTCTCCTGACTGGCCACTGCAGGGTACGAGCCCAGCAACATACAAAAATCTAGATTCGACACCTCCAAATAATCTCTAGCCAGCTGGCAAATCTGTCAGTGAGGAACCTCAGGGCCAACAAGACCATTGGCTGATCTTTTCACCCACGTATCAGCTTTCTGAAGCTGACTGAAGCCACAAGAGAGTTGCAACAATCATCCTGCACAAGTATCAACATTTTGGTTTTGTATTCTAATCTTTATTAGTGGCAGGACATCTCTAGCTCAGCATTTTTGCACTTGTTTTTAACGCCAGCAGGTGAGCATGTGTGAGCACGCACAGGAGGGCGTGGGGCCAGATACCTGAGAATGGCACCGCTGCGGTAGTTTCTCACCTACCTAAAATAGCCCTAGTTAAACAGCCTGCTGGCCAATAGACCTCACACACATTTCATGGTTTAGGAGTTGTATGTTTAATCTGGGAAATCATGTTATTTTCACTTACATTTGACATTTTAATAGTAAATGTAAATTATCTTGCACTGTATTGGAACGTTTCATTGTAACTCTCTGATGATTAGGTTGGTGTGAAGAAAGGAGATTGGCTAATACGTAACCACCAATCATTTGGGCAAGCTGCCTTAATTGGCACCAGAGCTGTAGTCTCCACATTGGTTTCAACTCGGGAGTGATTTGATGCTCGCTATAGCAGCTATTTGGCTGGAACCTAAGCATAGCAATCAGCATTGAGAGTGATAATGCCCTGTTACTGTTAAGGGCTAATAGCTAAACAAGACTGTTGCCTTCCCTAATTATTACATGGAGCTTATAAGGAACGATTGGTTTATTGATGGGATTTAGTCACCTCAATAATTACATTAATTTGGGGATGCCATAATACTGCACTTACTTCTAATTTGATTTGTTTATACATATTTTATCCTTTTGCCTAGTTATTTAGTCGAGTTAATAAACAAGAGGTTCACACACTCTGTCGCTCATGGAGGCCAAGCGCTGTGCGTTGTCCAACTGTTACAGTGCACATGGCTTTTCAGGTTTAAGGCCTGTCTGAGAAGGTATCCAGCGTGGAGAGTCACAGCTTGGCTGGCCCCAGAAACTGAGCCTGTAGCTGAGGTTAGAAGAGCTGGCACAGTAATGATATCCCCATTTTAGCAGAAAGGGCAAAATCTGCCCCCGCTAACAGACTGCAAAGACACAATAGACACTCGTCAGGAGCCCACTGAAACTTACCACTCCTGGTTGGTTGAAGAGAAGTCAGGCAGGGACAGGAATGCTCCAAGGAGAGCTGCAGGAGAGTAAGATTAATTGGGATGATGATGTGAAAGTGTTGTGACAGAAAAACACTATGTCAATAGTTCAGCTTGTGTTATGCTGGAAGATGTTAATGGCAGCCATCAGTCTCAGCCCTGGTCAAAGCTGACAGGTGTGCTCCTCTCCTGCCATACCAGAGTCCCCAATTCACTCCTACCCCCTCCATGCTGGGGGCTCTGCGTGACCCTCCATTTCCCTTCCCCTCCTATCAGGGTGATTGCATCAGATCCAGACAGGCAGAACATTGGGGATTTCAGAACAGCGATGATCTCACATGCCATACATGCTGCTACAGTACACACAGGTAGACACAACAAGTTGAGCTAAGGACATAGTGGCTGTAAATTACTCATGATTTCCTTTTTTTCACAGCAGCATTTTTTTATTCAGGATACTGTGTAATTTTATGATCTTGACTCATCTTCCATTTGTAGTAGCCGTCTGACTCGTTTATTCATCCCTGAGCCCCAGGTAACTCAGAAAGGCATTGCTATCCCTTCCTTATTACCGTTTCACTGAAGTCTTTGTCTCAAGGCCCAGCTTCCTAACCAGTCACCACAATGCTCACCTCTCCCCACCCCTTTTGAGCAGCAAGTGAGTACTTTTGCTCATTTCTTCTGGAAGAAGAGTTAAAACCAGCCCGATCTGTCCATATTGCAGACCCAGGAGGTATGTTTAACACAAACAGTTTCCGAGACTTTACCATTCTAAACTTTTATTCGCCATCAGAAATTACATACACTGATTCATCTGAATCTTTAAAAGAATTCACCCATTTAACTTTGGTTTATCGTTTAATGAAACCGTCTTAAGATCTGTCCTTTTCATTGGCGTTATCGTAGCAGTAATAGATAATAATTTATCAGGGGAAAATTGGACCTCAGTGCCCCCCACTCCTGCCAGTTTTATTTTCCCTGTGCAAGGGGGTGAACTAGTACAGAACTTAGCTATAATGGATGTGCTTCTCTTGCCATACCAGTTTTATGCCAGAGTAAACGCCATTTACTTCCCTGGATTTGCTCCTGATTTACTCTGGCACAATGGAGAAGACATTTACTCAGCCACAGTAGGAGGGAGTGAGGAGAGCCCGGTAGCTGCTTAGATTTTTTATCTGCTTTCTGAAGTGGCCTTAAATATGAACAATGATGCTTTTCCCATGATGAGTTATTTTCTGTTACTGCAACAGAAACTGAAGTGGGCCTGAGGGAAGAAATGAATCATTAAGAGGCTTTTGAACAAGGAGACACCGGAAGCCTGATTCATTGGATTTAGGAGGGCCTTGAGTTACAAACTTCAGATCCAGATTCCAATTGCAACACACACCTGTGTTTATGGTTATTCAGAGCTGGGGTTTTAACAAGAGGGGTCTGACTGCGACACCCATGGAGCTGAAAGGGTTTGAGGTTTGGGGGTTTGGGTCAGTCTCCAATTTCATTACAGTGTATTTAAAGAAAAAAAAAAAAAAAAAAATATCAATACCTCCCCAACCCAGACACGATAGGTACTGGAACTATGGGTACGGCTTGAAGTGGTTTCCATTATATACAAGGTTTATAGTTTGGTTCAATGGCTCTCAGTACCCCCACTATACAAATTATTCCAGCACCCCTGCCGGACACTTTAGATGCGAATGTTTTAGGTGTATTATATCACCCTAGTTATGTGCATGTACATCACACAAATAAGAAAGAGGAGGGGAGGCTGGAGAGCAACAAGGAAACAGCTGTCTTGCTTATGAAAAGATTTGCCAAGCTCATGTAGTTAGATTTAATAGCTGGGTGTTCCAGGCCCTTGAGAACAATGTAATTTGTGTCATTACTGGTACAAAGGCTGGCTCTATGGTTAAGGCTTCATTTGAGTTGTCTAAAATGTTAACAAAGGGGGAAGTGAAAACAAACATGGATGTTGTAACAAAAAAGGGGATGAGGATTCTGCGGGTGCTGCCAGTTACACTTTTCCCCATGGAATGAAAGTTCTGACAGTTGCAAAATTCATGTACCAAAATGACTGGTTTTGTCTATTCAGACAGGCCAAATCAAACACAGGTGGCTGGAATTAGAGGTAAAAGAACTAGAATTAGATTTTTGTTTTTAAATACAAATTATCATAACATTGGCTAATTTGTCCAATCATGCCTGAACATCAGAAGTTCTAATGTATTTTTATTTTTGATTCAAAGTTAATTAACTATTCTTGAAAGGTGCTAAACAAGCCATTTAAACACTCTAGTCAGTGGCCTCTCCATAAAGCTTTTTACTTAACTTGTAGATGGGGGGGTCAGAGCCTGTGTGGTAAACCTTGTTCTGTTCATTATCAATAAATTCAGTAAATCAGTTCTGCGGGACTCCTTATTTGGGCAATAACTCAACCTTCATCGGTTTCAGACAGAAGCCTAATGCAATGCACCGATGGATGCATGAATGCCATTGCATCCCTTTTTAATGTCACATGGTGAGTGTGTTTTTAATGTAGCATTTATTTTAGATTTAAAAGAGGAAGATGGTGGGGGAGTTAAAAAAACAAATTTCAGTTCTCAAAATTTAGTCTCATTATGATGCTGTCCTGCTATATCATCGTCTCGATGCCTGGTGTGCTCAGGTTCTAGACACTTGCTATATGTATCGCTATGTCTGTGAAATAATGACATTTTATTTTAAAAAAGGGAGAGCTGAGGCCCAGGACAAAGATTCTAGGTACACATTTTAAAATTAATGAATTTGAGTTGCTGGTGCCCCTTTAAGCTTGGCTGACCATTGGTGCTCCGTAATGTGTACAGAATCACCAATACAGCTTGTTGATCAAAATGAAGTCAGCATCAGACTCTGATTCACCCTCTGGGCTGCATCACATTTGTGCCGGTAGCAGCCAATAGTCAGAAGTTGTACACTCGCCTAATAGAAACCTCCCAAAATATCTTCCAAGTGAATTTCCCTTGGAATGGTGGTAGTTCAATTAGAGATGTTAGACATTTACCCAAAAGCTTTCAGTTTCTGCCAAAACAGAAGGATAGATGTCTGTCTACAACAGTGGTTCTCAAACTGTGGTCGGGAATCCCAAAGTGGGTCAGGACCCCATTTTAATGGGGTCGCCAGGGCTGGCTTAGACTTGCTGAGGTCTGGATCCGGGGCCAAAGCTGAAGCCTGAGCCCCACCGCCCAGGGCCAAAGCGGAAGCCTGAGGGCTTTAGCCCTGGGCAGTGGGGCACAGGTTACAGGCCCCCTGTCTGGGGCTGAAGTCCATTGGGCTTTGGCCCCCTCCACCCGGGGCAGTGGGGCTTTGACTTTGGCCCTGCCACTCAAGGCAGCAGGGCTCAGGCAGGCTCAGGCTTTGGTTCCCCCCCCCCCCCCGTCCTGGGGTCGTGTACTAATTTTTGTTGTCAGAAGGGGGTCGCAGTGCAATGAAATTTGAGAATCCCTGGTCTACAGGTATTTGCCTCTCCCCCAGCTATACTTACCAAGGATCTGATTCTGCAACTCAGTTTCAATGGGACCTCCAACAGACGGCCTGGATCTGCTACCCTGAGTCACACTGAGAAGCACCTTATACTGTTAGTGGTCCCAACTCCCCCTGAAATACATTGGGCTACACAGAGTAAGGCACGACACAGTTGTAAGGGTGCTAGAATCAGGGCCTAAATGACTCTGCAATATTGTTCAGCACCCTCTCTCAGCAGGAATTTTGAGTCCTCATCTCACTTTTACCAAGGATGATGTTTATTCAGTGCTTGCTAGATATTTCAGAAATAATGCATTTTGAATCACAGTATGTATCCATCGACTTAGAGAATCTACTCCAGTACAGGGTGGTGACAGCAAGTAGTAATTAGCCAGTGAAAATGTTCTTTATTTGCTGTTAAGGGCAAGATCATGGGATGGTGGAAATAGGCCCTTTCTGGTCACTTCCAGGTCAGTCTTGCCTTTTGCATTCAGCATGTGTTACTAGCACCAGTCAGGCAGATTGCCTCTATACCATGAAGCTGCTTTTTTAAAAAGCAGATGCTATTTGGAGGCTGTTTCAGATTTGATTTATGGAATTTGCTATCAGGAAGTCTATAAGATGCTTAAATGTATTTTTTTTAGGTTACTTTCTCCCTCTAGTGCTTTATCCCTTTGTACATCTCCCATTGACCTCAGTGCAGAAGCAGAGCATCTGTCCTCAGGAAAAACCTGTCAAATTTTCAGCACACCATAACCTATTGACGGTTTCTTTCCATGGTTCAAATGAAGTGGCATTTTCTTTTATTAAACCGTAAGTAATTTCTTTGTCATCTTCTGTAATTTAACATTGCCACCATTTTTTCAATGGCTTTTTTTCTGTTGTGTGCTCCACACGCCATAATTCCACTCTCCCCCAAAACATTTAAACCAAACGTTTAATAAAAGAAAAAAGCCAGACCTTTCACTGTGGTACTTTATAGCCTGCAATTGCCAGCCAATGCATAAAGAGAATTCCAGCATAAGGAATGTATAGAAACATACTGTATTAAAGACATCTGACTCAATTGTATAAAACAATTAGTGATTTGAATGAATCATTAGAGAAGTATTAAATTGATAGTCCTAGGAATCCAAGCCTTCTGTTTATATACAGGACCAGTATAGAACAAATAGAAGTATTCAGGAAATGTGCCACAAACTTGATCTGGAGGAATGAACTTTTCACTCTAACGGGTATACATTACTCATGTCCATTCACTATTTGGCTCCTCTACAGAGATTAGTAATAAGGGTGTGGCTCTTGTGATATATATAGCTATCCAGTGGGAACTGGACAGAATTTTATCCAATTGATTTTACATGGGTTGCCAAATAACTGCCAGATGGAAATATATTTTGATAATAGCTAATCAGCAGACCAAATTCAAGGCATTGATCATGCCCCTTGAATCAGTCAGCCCCCTCAAGCTTGCCATCTTTGAACTGAGCTCATGGACTTTCTAAAAGATCCAAATGACCTAGCTTTTATATAGTATTTTCCAGCAAGACGTTAGCCCTCACATACTTACTGAACACTGTTATTTTCAGATAGTAGCTGAACTCATAGACTTTAAAGCCAGAAGGGACCATCATGGTCATCACCTGACTTACTGCATGCTGCAGGACACAGAGCCTCTCACACCCACTCCTGTAATAGGCCATAACCACTGGCTGAATTACTGACATTCTCAAATCTTTAAAAACTTCAAGTTACAGAGAAGCCACCATTTACTCTAGTTCAAACCTGCAAGTGACCCATACCCCACACTGCAGCAGAAGGCAAAAACCTCTCCAGGGTCTTGCCCAATCTGACCTTGGGGAAAATTCCTTCCTGACCTCAAATATGGTGGCCAGTTAGAC